GACCAACAGCCGCGATGTGCAACGATAGCGAGCACGTTTGGATCTGCTAATGGCGAAGCAAGTGAACAATTCGGCGGGCTGGAGGGGAATAAATCTTCATGAATTGTTGCATATTAGGCAAATTGTCGGAACAAACTAAATTAGCTCCAGATGGTGTCAGTTATAAAGGATGCTTTGGTTAAGATGTGTATTATTGGATGGATTTTGGGTTCGCAACAATAAATGTTGCAGTTCCATATTGCCAATATATTGTGATATTCCTGTTACATTACATCAATATTTATCTTCAGGATTACACAATGTTTTACTAAATATATCAACAGTTGTTTAAAACATTAGTCATGTAAATAAATATCTTCAGTTTAATATTATACCACAAAAACACATTCAATAACGTAATGATACTCTCTTTTGATAAGGTCTCATAAGTAATCACTTTTATTTCAGTAACGTCCCAAACATCCAAAAATCTCAGACCACTAAATAATTTACTTAATTTCTTATTAAACATTTTTTGTGACAACATTGTGTAAACTGAGATGACTCACAAAATCATTCTTTGGAACTCTCTCCACATCCATTCACCTGCTACTTTGACATATGTTATGCCAACAAACGAGATAGGATTGTACATTCAATTCATCTTGGAGCATTTGAACACTTCACATTCTTTCCTTTAAGCTTATATTGCTTGGAGCATTCTTTAAAATAAGATGCATTTTTGAAAAAGTCATCATCCCCACTTGTGGTTTTTGTGAGAAGCCCCATTGATGTTACGCGAAGAGCCCAGTGGCCAGATGTCGACGCGGTGCGGCGGCCCGTGTGTTGTGTGCTGCGCCCAGCACGAGGGTTTGCAGAGCCGAGGATATGAGTTCGAACGCTGAGAAACTCTTCAGGCAACGGATTCTTCGCTTACACAATTCGCCCGCATGTCAGTTCACAGAAACGCTGGCGATGTAGCGCATGGGTGCGGGGGTCGTTGCACTCAAGTAAATCCGGCGCCAACCACAAGCGCAAATGACGCGCAGCGTCTCCAATGTAAATGAAAGATTCCATACTCCCCTCTCCTCCACTTTCTCTAGCAGCAAAACCATACTGGAAATATTGATTTGACTGATGATTCTGGGTACGATAACGACTAAGGGAATCAGTTTCGTAAGTGTAGTACATGTTTTATCACGTGAAATGGCGGAGATCGTCCCCTGCTGGATGACGTGGCTTGTGGAGATTTTCCGCAGTTATCTTCCTGCAACTGTGCATCGCTCCAGTAGAGACAAACTCTAAGGTCCCGACCAGGTCTCTCGGCATGTATGGTATTGTAGTAAATGTTAGTGTAAGTGTGAGTAAGTTGGGGGTTAGGTTCAGACAAGGAAGAGGAAGGAAATATATCGAGCGTCGGTGGCCCGTTTGTTTAGGCGCCGGCGTTCGCCTGTTATTGATAAGAAAAAACACGGCAAACTACCAATCTGAGCAGCTTGCCGCTATAATTTAATTCTGATAGCGGATGAATTCGACATATAATACAGAGCTGGTGATGAAAATCCTCCTACAGCCTTCTACAACCAATAGTCTCCGGGTGGGTAATACTATGGTTTCATAGGATGGCGCGTTGCGAGTCGGGGAGTCGTGAGACAGATTGGCGAAGCGAAATGAGGTTGCGCAGACTATGACTACCTATTCAGGGCTGGGTGGACCGTGCAAGATTGGCATTGGAGAAAGATTGCAACGGGGCGTGATGGGAATTAACAGGATGGTCCGTGGTGCAGACGGGTTGCATTGTGGTGACGAGAGCAGCGTGGCCTTGTGGGAAGTGCCAGGGTGGAGCGTGGCGGTATGTCGCGGGGTGGTGCACGCGATGAGTTCTCTTTCCAGGCGCCATGTGGCAGGGTGAGCGGAGCGGAGCTCGAAGGACAAGGGTGGTAGGATAGTGCAGACGACGAGCCTGTAAGATGTGTGTGTGTGTGTGTGTGTGTGTTTGTGTTGTGTGTGTGTGTTGGAGAAAAACCCGTTGGCAACCTGGGTTGTCGGAGGCAAGTTGCAGGATGAACCGTGACGGGTTAGTGCAGGGACGGCTGTGCAGGCTGGGAGCGAGAAGCAGGTAATATTTATTAGCGCTAGAGGGTAAGTAGCAGGGGCTGGGTCTGGCTGCGATGATGACGGCTGGATTAGCGGTCAGACCGACGCTTTCTCCTCGTGGGTTCGAAGAAGGGAGCGAAGCCACCATGGGTGGCCGGAAGCCAGAGAGCGTAAAATGTCGGGGTAGCCTAGCGAGCCGGCAGCGCGCTGTGCGCTGCAGGCCAGCGTGGCGGACGTGTTGCAGCGAGGCGTGACAACTATTTCAGAGGCAGGCGCGGAGCGGTAGCAACAAGTTACGGAGCTGTGTCTGGAGCGCGTCCCGAGTGGGGATGGGCAGTCCGAAGTTGAAACTGGCCGAGCGCATTTAGCGTCGGCACTTCCTGCCGCACTTCGCAGTCGCGGTGGCGGAGGGAGGAGGGGAGGGGCGCGTGCCAAACGCCCGTCCCGCCGCCCCCTCCCCCACGCCTCCTCCCTCCCCCTCCCCTTAGCCGCGAGTGAAGGCGCCCGGAACTGCAGTTCGGCGAAGGCTCCTCGTTGCTCTCAGTGGGTTCCTTGAAGCCTCGGAGCGGACGCCAAACGGGGCGGGGCCGCCCGACCTGCTCTGCGCTTTTCTTCCTGGGCAGTTAGCTCTCGCTGCACACTGCGGCGCCCTCACCTCTCCGATTCCTTTCAACATTTCTTGCGTTTTCGAAGCGGATGCTCTTGCTGCTGGTTAATGGCGTTGTTTGAAACCTTAAAACTTCCATTATAAATATTGGAAGTCAATAATAGGACTTGCAATCTTATCGACGATTTTGTTTTAGTTTAACAAAAACCAGTAGTGCTATAACAGCATATACTTTATTTATAAATTTGCAATTTTTGAAAATACAAAGCGTTCAACAAGTGCGTTAAATTTTTTTACCGCGTGTGTCAGCTAATATTGTTATGAATGGTATATGAATGTTGGCACATTGACCGTTGATCCTTTCTCCGAATAAACAATCTTTGTCAATTGTGGGTCGTTTCTTTTCCAGAACTGCTTGTCTGATGAAAATTATCGATAGAAAAGGCGATGTTCGTTGCTTTTTTTGCTAATGCTCTCCCAAGTATCAAACGAATATTTCGCAGCTTCAATAATGAATCTTCTTACAATGGAAAATCGTGGGTTTGAGTTCCGTCCGTGACCATTTTCAATGGAATCTGAATGAGAAGTCGCCACCGTCAGAATCGATATTCTGGAGGTCGCCTAATCTGTTTGGTTGTTTTTTTAGTTGTCTCCAATCAATTCCAGGGGAATGTCGGGGCAGCGGGCCTTGCACGGCGTGTGATTCTTCCTTCTCCTTTCTCCCCCGAATGCATCATTAAGGTCGCGCGAATGGCATTTCCAGCTCCTTGTGGTCCCTGGAGAGAGCGCGGTTTTAAGACCGTCCCAGTCATGAGTTATTGCGCTTACAGAGAGAGACTTTCTTTTGTGTGTGATACTCTTTTTGTAGGAATAAACAAGCTGGCAATAAAGCGTATTTCGGGTTCCCCTGATTACATCTCCAAGGCCAAGCGGAAGTCCGTTTTACGGCCGTTCCGTCGGGAGGTATATCTTCCAGGACGCAAGGGCGCACGGAACCTAAAATTTCCCCGCACAACACGCGTGTCCTCGACTGACAGACTCACAGTACCTCTGCCGAACATCTACGTAAATACGTGTCACTTCAGGTCATGTTTGTGATGGCCGTTTGTTTTGGTGATAGACTCCGGAACTTCAGAGACTGAACTGTTATAGACATTTGCAAAGTGATTTACTTTGTAAATTCTTCTCTTTCAAACATGGAAGGTACGGGTTGGACCATTCTAGACAATTTTTTGCCGACGAAATTGCATGAAAATAAAGAAGCAAAGAAATGTGAGCGTTCAATACTAAGAAATTAGTATTTTCTCGGATGTGAGGGATTTAAATTTTTCGGATATGAGGGACTTTTATTTATCAAATTTGAATCTTAGCTATGAAAAATATTGATATAGGAATCTTCAGCGAACCCAAAAAATATTTCAATAAAAAACGGAAACGGGCAGGCCAGAACTATTTGCAATTCTAGAACTTTCTTGCTTATCCCTGTTTTCATCTTCCTTTACCATCACAAGTAACGTGACTTCCATGTTTCCGTGGATCTGGAGACCCATCTCACAGAAGCAACACTGCTTGAACTAACACTGCACGGTGCTATTTCTGCATGGATGAGTAGACTCCGCACCGCTTCCTGAATGTACAAATGGGGCGATCGCTTTGGATTTGAACCTTGCTACCCGTAAACATATTGGACAGAAATATTGACAGGATATGATTTTCTTTAAGAGTAATACTGTCAGTAAACAATGAGAAAGATTCTGATCTTTCTGGATAGACGAGAGCATTTGCTCCATTCCCAATTTGCTCCCTTCCTCATTTTCTCTCTCTCTCTCTGACAAGTGTTGGTTTCAAGCCAGCTATTTATACGAAAATCATTGGAACCTGTAATAATTACTTATCGATCTAAGATGATAAGCAGTGATGCAATAAAAAGTGAAGTTTAGAAGAAAACGGCTGGTACTCTCCATTTTGAATTCAACTTTCCTCTTATTGAATTTGGTGTGATTTTGTACGGAATTGGAAGGTACACGAATTTTCCTTTGGTACAATAATACTGTTTTAGTATTTTCCCTGCATTTTCAGAATAAAAAAATCCGTAGAATAAAAATAAATATTACGAGAGAGAATTCGCGTGAGCACTGCGGGTCGGGTTGTGGAGGAGCGGGACAGAGCGAAGGTAACTGGAGTGGGACGGGAAGAAGCGTGGGAGGTGGGAGAGGATGGACACGCAGGCATAGGGAGTGATGAAAAGGCAAGGAGTGATAGATACGGTTTGACAAGGAAGGTGAGGCCGGGTGGGATGGAGAGGAGGGACTGTGGCGGAAGGGCGGAGGGAGGCGCTGACCTCGAACGCGAGGAGGAAAAGCTCCGCGCGGGGCCACTCGGCTCCGTCAACAAACGACCCCGGCCGCACGGAGCCAGCGCATACTATCTCACGCGGCGACTGTTTCTGCACGCGCGGAAACACCCCAAATTACAATCATCCCCAGCCGTCTGCGCGGCGTCTCTTGACTGAGCTGCGGTATTTGTTGCGTTAAACATTATCCGATCCTATCTCTATATCCGAAAAATCCATTAGTCATAATTATATAGCGCGTCAGCAAAGTCTTTCCGCAGTTCCACCTTGCTGGTGAGAGTCCTTTCAACAGAAATTATGTTGGTAGCACGAGCTGCAGCTTTAACGTTTTCGAGAAATTCGGATAAGTTATTGTTTGTAAAATGAAATTACTGTGTTGAAAATTGTAGCATTGATATATTTTGAACAGAATTTACTGATCTCATTGCGAACGTCTGCATGAAATAATTGTACATTTTTACACGTACACGTACACGTACAAGTCAGAATTTGTAGTGTAAAAACGAGCAATTTATCACACAGGCAAGGTTTGTCTGAATTGTTTTTACCACAAACAGTACAGAATTAAGATGTGTTTATCAAACATGATTCACATACATGACGTATGTTTTTTTAGGTTTTCTGTCTTTCGTTCTCATACAAATCGCCCATCTCTCACATTTGTTGACACGTTTGTTCACCTCAATAATTCACTGAATGAGTTAACACAATCAAACTCTAGCAAATGCTCAACGAAACTTCTAACTAAATTTGCGTGGAGCAGGAAACCAGATATTAATCATATTTGAGAAAACAACCAAACAATTTCTGCCAGGGTCTCATATATGTATACGTGGAAGGTTAAAACTGCTTCCCATAAGGAAGAAATAGGGGGCATGGATCTGACATAAATTTCTTATGTATGTATGTATGTATGTATGTATATATATTGTGTGTGTGTGTGTGTGTGTGTGTAATATAACAATGTGGAGATTACGAAACATGTCAACCCTTTGAAGCAAATTCGAAGTATAATAATGAGTTCATTCCAGACAATGAATTCTTTCTGGCGATTCGAAATGTAATAAGAAGGCAGCATAAACGTGCATCAATTATCACGCTTGCAAGAGTTGTTATTTCTACTCGTCGCGTTTTGAAAAGTTTCCACCAGTTCAGAGGGCCGTGAATTTCGCAGCCCCTGCGTCTGGCGTCTGCGCGCTGCTTCACCTCCATCGTGGAGGCGAGGGCGGGGGCAAGGACAGGAACGGGTTCAGAGGCGATGGCCGAGTTGGTGGCGGGGACCGCGGCTAGAGGCGGAGATGAAGGCGAAGGCGGTGAGGGTAAGTGTGGCGGCTGTGGGGATGGCTGTGGTGGGGGGGTGTGGGAGTGAGAGCGGCGGCGGTGGCCGTGATGGGGGCGGTGGCGGTGGCCTTAAAGAGGGCGAAAGCCGTGGCGGGAACGACCAGGGCCGCCCGCTTTACGAGGGGGCGATATACTGGTCCATCCATTACTGCGTCGAGGCGCCAGCCTGAATTATTACGCCGGCGAGTGGGGCTGCACGCGGTCGGTAGCTGCTCCTCTGGCGGCTGCGAGATGGAACTGTAGCTGTACATTTGTCGCGTGCAACGAACGGGCGGGCTTTATCGTAAGGTGTCATTCAAAGGTTCAAACGCTTGACAGGAACACAACCGCGGAACTCCAAAGGCTCTTTTCACTTGAAACTATCACTGTAAGAGTTGCTTCCCAGCCACTGAAGTCAAACAGTGAAGGTTTTCAACAGTCCAGGCGGGATGCTCTTTGAATAAATTCCCATATTCTGTTTAGTTGAGGAAGCCAGAAGAGAATGCTGAACACAGCTTTGTTTCGTGTGAAGACTTAAAACCGCGCAGAATTTACCTGTTATTCCTTTGAAATGACAGCGCTCGCGCATTTATGACAGGAAACACAATATACTGCAGGAAGCGAGATTTGAACTGGAATGGAACTCACCAGTGTTGGAGCGGTACTCCCCGATGAAGCGGCGAGTCAGGAAGCGGACGGTGAGCGCTGCAACAGACGCGGGAAAATGAGGAAATGAACGCAATGGATCAAAATGACATCATCAGACATGCAGTAAACAAACAGTATACTCGCATGATAAAATAAGTCACCTTCATTTTTGCACATTGACATCAAATAGCATTTGGAAAGTTCTCATGATTTGTTTACGGTTAAGGTGTTGTTGAAGTCAACCAAATTCGACACGAAAACCCTCGACTCGAAACGTGTCACAAAATATTCTGTTCAATAATTGTAAATAAATAATTTATATCAACGCTCCTAGAAAATTTAAACATAATTAAGAGAAAGAAACGTCCTATTACTGTAACCATGTAGCTTTTGCGCGAGCTGGTAGAATACAGTTGCATATAAAAGGTACTGAAAGGGACTTTCGGAAGTTACAAGAAGTAACGATGGTCTTCAGTGTGAACTTCGAAATTATTCATTTCCAAGAATTTCGTCAGCCACTTGGCTCGAGGCGGGCGCAGTGACGCTGCAAGTGGCCGAGACGAGGAACAATGAAAGCGCGCTCTCGGAGGAACTGCTTCGTTATTCGCGCATCGCATCGCATTGCCTCGCGGCGCGCGGGAGGCAGAGGACGGTGCGGGGCTGCGAGCCCAACGACCCAAGGAGCACGACGCGACGCGACCGGGCTCCAGGCAACTCGGGCGAAATTGATTCCATTTGGCGTCGCGGGGCGCTCCACCTGCTCTCGGGCGTGAGCGCGCGGCCGCGGCGGCGGTCGCAGCGACAGGGAGTGCTCGGTGCACATCGCCTGCGCTGTCTTCAACGGTCGGAAGGGCGCGATGTGATGCTTTTGGGCGTTGCAGAAAAATAGTAGTTTGCTCTAAAGAAATGCCTACTTCTTCTACCTTGCCTTTTAGAGTAAATAACGCAGACTATTCCACTCTTGAAATTAAAACCAGTAATTTTGAATTATACTTACACCGCCCTGATTAGCGCATTTTGTATCTCGAAAAGGTCGCTTTTTCTATCCGATTTTTCTTACCGCTTCTACCTACTGGCCAATCATAAACTGAGACTCATCTATCTTAGGAGGCGTTATACATCGATCGCTATGTCGATGTCCAATAAACAGCGTGTATAACATAATCTCTGATTTTATCAAACGCTTTCAGCTATTTTGAATATTTGGGGCATTTTGAAATTCTGTTGGACATAATTTCACTCGTGGAATAGTAATATTCAAAATGACTCGTGCTTTGAAAAATCTGTGATAAATCCCCTCCTCGCTTTACGAGTCGGGAATTTATCGACAATTTCCAAAGAACTCGTTCCAAGGAACTCGTAAGTAATACACCATGCTTATCTTCGTTTACTACTCTAACAGGCAAGGTAAACGAAATAGGTATTACTTTTTGTTAAAGTTAAATTGTTTTAGTTAAATTTCGGAGGTGTCCCTCTTTAAATAATCTGTTCCGGTCATTTTTCTGCGTCACGCATGTCATGCGTTAACTAAGGTTGATCATAATGTCATTGAAACAATTGTGCGCAATATGTTCTTATAATGGAACTAAGACTGCTTCAACGTACGTTCATGATGAAATTAAATAGCTTTTTTTGCAATTTGACAATGCATTTACTTTAAATCATACTTCAGATAATGTCACCATCTGAAAGATCAGTTTGTCGTACCATTACCTCGACAATTTCATGACATTTTTTTCGAGAGAAAAAAAAATCGGTTACATTTTTTTCCATAGAGGTCTTCATTGTGATGAATAGATCAGCTCAGCAAAATGTCATCTCAATTTGTATGAGTCAACGAGAATACGATGACTTAAGAGTTAAGATTGTTAATATTGGAAAGAGGGATTTAATATAGATTTATGATTTGACACGTAACATGGGGCAACTACATCAGTTTTGTAAATATCTTGGAAAATTCCCAATTTAATCAAGTTGGCAACTCCAAAAATACGTTTACAAAATTTAGATTGTTTAACCCTTTCCTTTATGACAACTCATAACACTTGCAAAACAGCAACTGTGATGAACGTGTCATGTCGACCCCTTTCTTCATTAAATAAAAGTATTCATTAAAAACTGAGAAAGTTTCTCTACATTTTTCACATCAAAACAATACATTTTTGAACAACTTGAACATTCAATTTAATTTTCATTGAGATGTTTTTTGATTTGATATTAATGAAGTAACAAGTATAACAATGATCTTGTGGGACAGGTGTATGTTCAAAAACCCCTTCCCTCTCGTCAAATTTCCGTTGCATTTGCGCCATTCCCGTTCACCCTAAAAGCAATTTTGAGTGCTTCTCGAACGAGACTCACCTGACTTTCCTACGTTGACCTTCCCCAGCACGGCGATGCGCACGCGCGGGCCGGCGGGCGGCGGAGGCGCCTTCTCCTCCGTCTTCATGTCTGCGACTGCAACACACACACACGCGCGCGGCCCATCAGACCCACGCACGCGGGCTACACTTGACACAAGACGATACCACATGAAAAAAAGCTTTAAAGTTTATTTGATTGTGTCTCCGGGCGCGACCTCTACTATCGTCATTAGCCCGTAAGGCCTCTTGTATCTCGGGATGGTCGTAGGGGGGTTGCGATGTTTTACACTTCCAACTATCTCCCTACAAGGACATCTCTCCAGACTGTTAGTTTGCGACTGGGTTTACGACGTGTGTAGTAATGTAGTGCATGTGGGTGATCTGTGCTGTCCGGGTGGCGCCGCGTCGAAGGCTGCGTTGCCGACGTTTCGACCATCCTGTCGTGGTCTTCCTCAGGGCAGGTATGACAGCCCAGATCACCCACATGACTCTGGCCGCGGAAGCCTACGACTTAATGTAGTGCATGTAAGCGTTGGTGTGTTGTGTGTGGGGGTGCAAATGTAAGGGAAAAGAAATGATAATAATGAGGAAGAAAGGCCTGTTCTCCATTTTTCGGAGCATTTTGATTGATTAGTGATGGCGGGCGCATCAACTGTTAAGTCCATTAGTAGTGCATGCTTTGGTCGCGCAAGGTAGCGGTGATCGTCCTTCACGGGATGGTGAGATCTGGCGTCGACCTACTCGATGGATTGCAGGGTTTTCCCTAACCAGGTATCTTCCACCAACGGGGCACCGCATTATCCGGGTCAAGCTCTAAGCTACCGCTCTCCCAGCATGCGTAGCAGTGTAGTGAATATAAGCGTATGGATGTAAGTAAGGGATGAGGATAAAACAAGTGGAGAAGGAAAGATCGCGCTCTGTCCGTGACCCGTTTGTTATGGTACAGCAACGGCATTTGTTTGGTGATGATCGGAGAAACCACGGAAAACTACTGTTCTGAGCATCCAGCTGCTAAATTTGTCCACACTGCGGCTGCACTCGACGAAGCTTCTAAAACCCTGCCACCGGGGACTTGAAGCCTACTACCTAAGAGAGGAACTGCACTTTTCGGAGTATTGCTCCAGCATTTGCTTGGTATTGATAGAAAATATCAAGGAAAACTTATCCATCAGAGCAGCTGACTGTTAATTCTACTCCTGTCGTGGTGCGACATTGGCTAGTTGGGAATCGAACCCTAGGACCTCCGGGTCAAAAGTGGGACGGAGCCAATGGTGGTGCTGCAGTGCTATCTTTGCCGGTTGCTACTTAGGAATTCTCTTGGAAGCGATCACATAAATCACCGATCAAAACAGTCAAACGAGGAACAGTCAAGCAAGTCACGGAATGCATGTTGATTTTACTCTCGTCGCTACCGTTGTTCATAGTTAAATTTCTCTTCCTTAATACTAGGATGGAAACATAAGCCAATCTTCTCCAATTAAACGTAACGAGAAATTTTTGTCTATAATTATCCGCTTCTCAGATTTCTCATTATCTTATAATGAATACGTATACATTCTAAAATATATTTCACTTAATTGGTGTAATCCTAGCGCACTTCATTGAATTTAATTGAACAGGAATGCCTTGCGTTGAACCGGCATGAAAGTCCTTCATTATAAGGGTCGGAAATCAGACCTAGATTTGTATATTGAGTGAATAATACAAATTTATAATACAAAATACCTAACAAATTAATACAAAATACCTTTAAGATTAAGGTTCTACAATAATTATGTAGATAATCACAAAGCATGCGACTAGAGCAACACTTTCAACAGTCTTACCAAGGAATTCGACTTAACGATGAATAATCACAAACGCTTTGTGTATTTTCAGTCACTATCAAAGATAAGGGATAGACCAGAAGAAAATTCCCAGCAATTAGGAACATACAGGTATATTACTTAAAAAATAAAAACACTAATTAAAATCAAATTCGAAGTAAATTCGATTTGGTATTGGGAAAAATATATCGAAAAGAACTTTCTCACGTTAATACTGTTTTTTGCAGAGCAGAAACACCACACAATTGGTGGTCATCTACTACACCTCCGGTGTTTTTTCTTGTCTGTCATTCCGTGACGTGATTTTTTTGGCCAAAATATCAGTTCTCCTTTCGAGCCTTTCTTCAGTGCCTACCCCACTAACGTCATTCGGCGTCTCCGGACAGCCGAGAAAAAAATGTTTTTTTCACAATCATGTCGCTACTAATACTTCGAGCCTCTACACAAAAAGTAACAATTATCTCAATTATACTCACATCGAAATTTAGGATATGTCCAGTGACGTTAAAGTTAAAGCTAAGAAGCACTTCAATTGAAACACTACCATAACTTATCCAAACCTGGATAAACCGACGGAAATACTTGTTATGAATGATACTTCCAGCTCCTACCGCGAAATTCAAGCATGACGTCGAAGCTCTACAGCTTCCCGAAAACCAACGAAGTGAATCTTTCCGTTTTATGCCATGACGACAAAAACATCATTAATCCCTATCAGGATTTTGAAAATAAATACATAAATGCAAAGAAACTTTTATAGAAATAAATGCATGACACTACAGTTATAGTGCAATTGAAAAATTAATTGTTCAGAGAATTGTTATTTATAAAATAAGAGTTTTTTTCAACTTTTTAAATTTTCAAGATAAATAATAATTATTAAAATATTTTTGAGAGTTTTTTACGCAATATTTCCTCAAGGAAAACGGAACTAGTTTAAATATTTTGCGTAGAAACACCCCATGTGTGCAGCAAAGCTCCTGTAGCCGAAGATATCTTGCCTGTTTTGTGTCTTCACCAGGAGCGCCAATGTTTTGAAAATCGTTCTGCGGCATAGCTTCCTTATGACATAAATTAGATCACCTTGAGACTTTTTACTGCATGGTTAGGCTTTCGACCGAACCCAGGTGGGGAGGGTTACACTTATCATTCTGTCGAATTTGAGAAAATACTAACAGTGGGTTCCCCGCGCATAAAGGCTGGACGAAAAATAATGCAGAGAAATAAGGTGGTGTGCAAACAACATGGCCAAAGGAAACCTGAAGAACTTGAACGTCTTCAACAGACATCGAGGATACTTAAACATGTATTTAGAAGAGCGTAATTTCGTGAGATTTAACTAGGCATTTCTCTCCATTTATTATGATACATCAGCGTCTTCGAAATGAGATATGACGTAATTGTAATAGTGCAAGAAAGTATACAGTGAAAACACGCACACACTTTATATATAGTGAAAGATGCAGAAATAAGTCGTTCTTTGTCATGGATTAAGCGGAGTAAGTAGAAAAATTAGCTTTCAGTGAAATATGCGTCAAAAATTGGCACGTGCATGAGATATTATTTTCATCATACAAACGCGTTAAAAATGATGCACAATTACAACAGCAACTGTGAAAACCCTACCATGAGATGTCAAGTCTCATCATTCAGAGAACCACGAGGAAAATGTATTTTTTTCTATATGCCAGTAATGAAGTGGCATATAAAAAAAACAATACATTTTCCTCGTGGACTCAAAATGACATCTCAACAGTAAATTTTATCAATTGACAACCGAAGCTTCACTAAATAGCGAGACGCTTTAATATTTAGCAAGCTGAGAGTATACATGAAATAACCAATTTCCAATTTAGAAGTCTTAAAGAACCGGTCCCATGCGCACGGATGCCAGTTTGATATACATTGACGAAGTCGCAAAGTGGTGGCGAAACGTAGGATCGCTAAACGCAGCGAGCGAAAGAGCGGCGCCTTACCTTTGTCCTCTGAGCGACGTGCAGCCGGGCTCCTCCTCCGAAAGGGCTTCGATACGACGGGACGCGATCCGATGCGAGCGGAGGCAGATCAGCGGAAGCGAGCGACGGCGGTGGCGCGAAGCGACAGGAGACGACTGGCGCGCGCCGCTCGCGCTTCGGCCTTTTGCCGCCTCTGCCCTCGACAACCCCTACCCGCCCGCCCGCCGCGGCGCGCGGCATGCGCTGGCCGCCCCCACGCACCCTGATCCCGCTGCCCTGACCGTCGCCGCCGCCGCCGTCAAGTGAGTCAGTGTTCGCGGAAGGCCCCTCGAAGCCGGTCACGTACGCACCCGACGCTCTGCGCTCGGCACTCGGCACTCGAGCACCCTCCACCTGCCGCGCCCTCCCTCGCCCCCTCACACTGCTTACTCTGCCTCCCGCCCCCGGCCTACGCTGGCGGATTTTCTTCCACTCCCACTCTCGCTCTCCGCACCTTTCCTCCGACGCCCTTACGATGTTTCCCGCCCCGCTTTCTCTTTCATTGCTTCTTCCCATTTCCTTTCCGAGAATCCACACCCCTTCCCACACCGCTCTCCGCGTTCAGTAAGCCCCCATCGGTGCGTCGGCTCTCCGTTCAGTCCACAGGCCTACGTGCTTCCCCCGTCAACTCCTTATAGACCGACATATCTTCCGGTTGTCGATTCTTACTAAACATGTTTCTTGTAAAATGGAGAGTTTATTTTCAAACCTGTCGCTGAAGAGGATCTTCGTTCTTTTCTTCTCAGAAGCTAGCAATAATTTTTCTGCTGTTTTTCAACGCACGTCTTGGGCGTATGGCGTGCGTGTTTCCTAATGCTTTCTTCAGCTTCAGCTTCATTTCTTCAGCTGAGATACAACGGAACCAATCGATGAATTCTTCGTTTTTCAACTTCTAATATTTAATTACTTAAAAATAAAAATACTTTGACGTGACAAAGGTTGGATGACTTGTTCCGTGTAAAAAGTGAACAACACGAAATTTTTCTCTCGGATTCACAGCAATTTCTCGTTGATAAATATCAATACTTTAAATGTATAAGAGCAAATGTCTGATTTTAGGTCTCATGCTTTACACAAGAACTTATCGTTTTGACTTCATCATGACGCAGTGGAAAACTGGTAACGAAACTGTAATTTCAAGATATTTAATGCTGTCAAGACGTCGTTAGCGTAATGTACCATTATCAGGAGTTCATGGTATTTAAATACAGTAGTCGAAGGTGAACTCAGTCATTGTTTCAGAGGAGGCAAACATTCTTAACAAATAAAAATGAAAGTATTTGCACATGCAGATGCATGTTAGAATTTTCTCTCTTCCTTGAGACATTGTCATGTACTTGTCTACGGTCATTAAGACTACACCACTACACTTTAATTGAAGATTTCATTTACTTATTAGCTTTCTGTCAGATGCTGCACCGTCAGAGAGTGTCGGTGTTGTTTTGATTCTCCGCTTTAGCATTTCGTTTACGCATCGCATCTAAGTTTTCCATTGTCGGCGAATCCTCTTCTTCTCGATTAGTTATCTTAGTAGTATTTCGTGTAAGAATTTTTCTGGTCACAACAGATTACTGGGAACATATTTTGGTGGATACACTGGCTGTCATTAAACTAACACTTTTATTTACATTGGAGGGATATATAAGATGATGAAGAATGCTGAAGGTTACAAATGACTGACATTGTTTTTACACGAAAGAATTTTCATTTTGAAATTCACAGTTTATTATCTTATTTAAAAAGCAACGAGTCTCTATGAAACATAAGTTTCCAAAAAGAAAAAGTATTCTCATATAGCTTTACAGTTAAAGATAAGATTCAACTGTTTTAGGACATCACTTACTATAGGAAAGACGCAATTTTAGAACACACTATTTGGCAGAATGGTGTATAAGATTCTTGGGAATATACTGATACATAAAAAAACAGAAAACAAACGGAAGTGGAAATACTTCACGTTGTACATAAGCTCTTCAATGTTTCGCGATTGACGTTTGTACCTTGCGCTGGCATAGGCAATTGCAGATACTCTTGAGTAAAGCGGGTTGCATTGGAATAGTTGCTCCTCGCAGGAATTCTCAGACGTCTGCATTTTCCCACCTCTACCTTGAACTCTACGCTCAGACACGTTCACCAACTATTCCAATAAAATGTACAGAATATGAGTTTTCCTTTTTTTCTTGACAACTTTGACCGTGTTTTAGACTTCTACTCTAAGAATTGAAAAACTACTTTTCTCTGGCACTAGAGATATATGGATCAATGAATTGAAGGTTTCTGCAAGCGATATTAAAACGTTTTACGATTCGCACAACGGAAATAGGACATTTTTCTATCCTTATATTACAGTCGCCATATTGCACTGGAGATCTTTGGAATTATACACGCGTTCTCGCCACCGGGAGAGGTGCCTCAGGGTATGAACTGATGCCACTGCAGATCCTCTGCCCAGGTGGTCCTAGGTTCGAGTGACGACGACGACGGCAGGATTTTTGACAGTACCTTGTCAGCTAGGTCGAATTTAGTCTGTGTCTGGAGGAGAATTTTAGCGGCCGGCTCTGATTGGGGATTTTTTCATGGTTTCTCCGATCAACACCAGGTGACTGCCAGAGCAAACGCGTCACGGACCGCATGGATCTTTCCTTCCTCTTCTTTGTCCTGTTCTCACCACTTACACACACACACACACACACACACGCCTATATTCACTACACTATCTGGAAGACCGGTATGTGCTAGATCGGGAAGTGCCGGTGTGCGCTAGCTCAGAACTAGACTCGTCTGGGGCGGTGCCAAGCTGGTGGGAGTTACCTGATTGAGGAAATCCCCGCTAGACGGTGTGGAGGTCGGCTCCGGATCTTAACATTCATCGGGAGAAAATCTCCGCCACCTCCCAAGGAAAACTCGTGCACCAAATTTACGGGGTTAATGACCTGAGCCGTTGAAGGAATGATTACTAATCAATCAATCAATCAAGTTCGCTCGATGAAGGAATATCAATTCTGGAGAAAATAGTCTGATCTGTTTATGGGATACCGTTGACCTTAGACAGATAGAGGGACTGACTGACGGACAAACATACAATGTTTTACTGTGAACCAATTTTTCAGTATCAAGGACTTACAAAACTTAGATTCGGACTAAATAAAGTGTTAAAGGACGTAATGTACTATACAAAGAAAAATATGTATCTATATTTTCGCTAGACCCAACAGTACGAGTTTTTCTGACGAAAAATAGCTGTTTTTTGCCGTATCATTACACTTTCCCTATAATACATAAGTAGTACGCTAGAATGTAAAAATTTATTCGAAGCATTGATATGGTTCTCGTTGAGGTCGGCATAGGATACTTACTTACAATGTGATTTATATACAGATGAGAAAAAACAACAACAAAGCCAGCCAGACCCGAGGCGAGCAGCTGGAAACGCGGACGTGATGCAAGAGCCCCGAAACGCTCGCCCGCGCGGGCGATAGCCACACCATGGTAACCGCCCGCCCGCCGCCCGCGCCCCATGCAGGCTCTGAGGTCACAGTGGGCCTTGACGCGCGCGGCGACTTCCTGGCCCGGGAGGCGCTGACATGCATCTTGGCGAACGCCAGTCTTGGACACCGGCTCTTAGGTTGATAATTTCGCGTTCCAGCGCGCGTCAACTTCTGTGGTCATTAGTACCGCAAGTGCAGGGCATGTTTTTGTCACGGGACGTGGTTGTGTTCTTTCACCGCTTGATGGTGAGATCCTGCGTCGACGTTCACGCCGGTTGATTCCCACCACCGGGCCACTACTCCAGTAGAGACAAGCTTTCGATTTCTGACTGGTCTCCCGACTTGTAGTCTAGAGCATGACTAAGTCTAATTGTGTGTAAGTAAAGGACAAGGATAGAACAAGGAAGAGGAAGGAAAGATCGCGCGCGGTTAGTGTCTCGTTTTGTAGGATACTGTTCTGGCATTTTCCTGGTGATGATCGTAGCCGGTTCGTAGATTTTTAGGCGTTCAGAGTACAAGGAAAGCATGCCACATGAGCAAATTTATTTGAAAAAGGGGCATCAAGGTTGTACGGAAAATTTGATTGCAGGGAAAAGTGAGAATATTTGAAACAAAATTGGTTTAAGGAACCTTTTAAGTTTTTAAAAGGGCTTCGGATAGAGATTTTAAATACGAAATGTGTTGAAAATGACCAAAAGTGAACTTGATTACCTTGTGCATTGATCTTTAAAAACGTCTATAATCTATAAAAAAGGATTGGAGACCATGTAAGTTATACATTATAAACAAATTTATAAATAATACTTCTACGTTAAGTTATATTCTTCTAAAATTCTAGTTCAGGATTATTCGAAATAATTGATAGCAAAGTGAACAGCACTATATGTTCCCTTTTACAACATCATTCTACAATTACCGTGAAGCATATATCCCCCCCCTACAATGTCCATCGCTATCAAAAAGGATAGTTGGACAACAATGATAATAAATAACTGTTATTACTGAATTGAACATTTATTTTTTAATATATTTGGGTATCAATACACACTTAATACTCTCTACGTCCTTTAATATTAATAAGCGAAGAATAATTTTGGCATCAGCGAGTATTTTTAACAAAACAGCCAAGTGAGACAAAGCCGCCGTCATGATGAGTATTACGTAGTTTAGAGAAAATATTGTAATGCCGAAGCGAAAGATCGCGAATTTTGAACAGATAAATTCGTATTGTGTGGGTTTATGATAATGAAAATGGATCATTCTTGCTCCTAAATACAACTTCTTGTAATTGGTTGTGTAGTCGGGATTTACGTTTTGTTATTGCCAGAACATGTTTTAAGGCAAAACTTGTCCGTCTACCCAAGTGACTGAACACTAACGCCCAACCCGTATAAAATATTCTCAACAAAATTGTTATTCTCTGATAATGCGATGTACGTTAATAAAAATGGCACATGTTAATTTTCGTTGAACTCTCTTTCAAAAATTGCAAAAGTTATAAATAACGACAGAAGGGATGTGTTATTGTAGACCATCAGTTTTACATTTTTTACACTGTGAGGGCAACGTAGAAGAAATTTCAGTTATATCAAAATAGACTACTTAGCTGCTTTCAGACCG